TTCACCCCTTCTCCGCTCATCTCAGGCAAACTAATTCTTCTGTCACCACTTTGTATGTATGTCCTGTCCCCTCTTTCCTGCTCTTTCCCAGGGCCGTCATAGTGGATGCGTCTTTGTTTTCACCCTCCAAGCTCTCCATGCCCCTCAAAACCCCCTCATTTGAATAATTCCTATAGATTTGTCCCCTTGATTTACTCAATTATCTGATCCTGATTAACCTTTTCCTTCTACTGCTTTCCACCTCCATAATTATTTATCCTTGTATCCTACATGCTATAGATTTGCAATCTTGTTTTTGAATTAATTACAATAAATCATTTTTAGCAAACCTTGCAGGTTACACAGCACTTTCTTCACAACAGTCCAATGTAGGGAATGCAAATAAAATCCTCCCTGTTCCCCACACTTTCTTTTGGTTTGACCTGTGATTTCATCAGTGTAGAGGAAACTCCCTATGGAGAAACTTTTGCCAATGCAGATTGTCAATTTAGGGTCTTGGAGTTGCCTGCTGAGAGGTAAATTGATTTATCAAAGCTTGCACAGATAGTGTGTGTCAGAGTCATGATTTGAACCCAGGTTTTCTTGACTCTGAAGCCAGATCTCTATCTAGCAAGCCATGGAGCCTCTCATCCCTACCTTGCAGCTGAAGAAACTGAGCCTCGCCAGGGTCATATACCAAGTGTTGGAGGGGTTCCAACAGGTTTCACGTCTGTTTCATGCAGTGCGTGTGTTTATATGTGTCTATCTGCCTTTCTGTATGTTCTCTACATCTACATTCCCCCAAGGGCAGGGACCAAGTCTTCGTAGCCTGATTTGTATAGCACCAGTAGAGCACAACTTGTAGGTGGAAATTTTGACTGTGTTAGTGGCAGTAGTGAATGCCTCTGGGGGCTAGAAGAGGTGTCAGCCCCATCACCCAAATTGGGGCTGATAAGGTGCCATGAGCACTTGTATTGGAGATCCTGTGCCACCCCATTTGTCTATGTTTCAGAGCTTACAGAAGTCATGGCCTCATCGAGAAGCTACGCTAAGCTGCTGTTTGCCTGGGAGGGCTGGCACAATGCTGTAGGGGTTCCTCTGAAACCTGAGTATCAAGCTTATGTCAGTCTCAGCAATGAGGCCTATAAGTTGGATGGTAAGTATGTCCCTTCCATCTTTTCCAAGGTCCCCCTCTCCTGTCCTTCTTCTTCCTTTAGTCTTGTCTTCAACCCTGGGAGGAAGCCCTTAACCTCCTTTGTGGAGTTAGTTCTTGTCTCCTCACCACCATTACCCAACCTTCTACCACTAGGGGCACTTTAAAGAATGGAGAGAAACAAAGATACTAAAGATATTCTTTGCCTCATGAGATTTACATTATTGATAGGGATACATCATAAATACACTCAAAACAGTTAGGTAATATGAGATAATACATATTCTGATGGTGAAATGAAAACTTTGAAATGCTGTCATTCCTAGAGAAGAAATCACTCAATTTCCATCCAAGTTAAAATTTTTTTTTCTTTGTAACTAGCAGAATTTGAGTGAAGAAAGCTTTCTGTCCTCCCAGCCATAAAGAGGAGGAGTTGATCTTCCCAGATCATGCTTGTCTCCTCCCACTGAACCATCTCAGGGATACAGCCTCTCCTTTGGTCACCACGCCCTCGTCTCCTTTGCATCAGAAACTGGAGATAATCTAAAGCAGAGGAGTCAAACACAGGCCCCTGCTCCAGATTAAAATGTAATTGGGAAATATTTAATAAAATAAAAAATACAACAGAACATAGATAATATTACATTTTTAAAAAACTAAGTCAGTGTGCGGCTGCAGGGATCCTTAGGTATGGATCAACGGCTTCAGATTCTATTGGAGTTCTGACCCTCATATTTTAAAGCACCCATATTTTAAATGATTTGACCTGCCAACAAACAAAGAAATCATGATTTTAGCCTGAATCCTTTCCAGTCCTAAAATGCTATGATCCTGTCTCTTTACTCTTATCTTTTTCCATAGGGATCTCTTCCCCTGCTTTTTTAGGAGGCTTATAAAACAGAAGTTATTAATAAAACCATAATTATATGATCCTTTCGTACTACATAGTCCGTAATCAAAGTTACTTGTAACTTTGTCAAAGAAACTTATAATGTTTGGCCAAAGATGTAAGTCTTTTTGTTCTGTGTAGTCAAGCTAGCCACTGGCATCCTTCTCATTTGCACTCAGGATATACAATTACATACTTAACAGAAATCAGAAGCAAATAAAACCAATCCCATCCTCATCAAGAGGAAGTATGCTTTAAAGTATTATTTAAATCAGCAAATAACTTTAAAAGAACAGGAAGTTATGGATTTAAGTATCTATCCTTTAGCATGGAAAAATGAGAAGGAAGAAAGGAAAAGGTAATTCACCACAACTTAGATTTACTAATAATTAGGGGGGTCCCACACTCTGGTCACTTTTGTTCTGTGTGCCCCTGATAGATGAAGATACTGGCCACTCTGGCTTAACATTTTTTCCTACACCTCTGCCATTAGGAGTCTGTATGTCATTGTCTACCTGAAATGAGATGAGATAATATGTGCAAAGCACTTAGCACAGTGCCCAGAACATAGCAGGCACTATATAAATGCATATTCCTTTCCCCCTTTTCTCCCTTTTCCCTCCCTACTCTCCTGCATAGAAGCCAAAAACTCTGCCCTCCAGTTCAGTCAATGATAGATTCTCAGACTCTTCCAGGATAGGAGTAGGATACTATTTCCTCCCTGAACTACAGATCCCAATATCACTAGATACCTTCCCTTCTGCCTGCAGAAGATTTGGCTCCTCTCATAGACACGGTTACACCTGGTTTAGCCAGATACTGATTAGATTCCATCTCCTCATGCTTCTAGCCTTGAGCCAGATTCTTTCTGTCTGCTCCTTCCACTCTCATCTTGAGCCCTAGGAAGTGAATTTGTCATATGTAACACAGTAATAAGACCTATGCCTCCCTTCCTGTGAATCTTCTAATGGAGATTAGGATGGGAGTAGAGAAGCAGGAAGACCCTTGGACTGGAGGCATTTCCTTGGCAGGCTTTGAGGACACGGGGGCATACTGGCGTTCTTGGTATGACTCATCTACATTCGTGGAAGACCTAGAGCGACTGTACCAACAGCTAGAGCCTCTGTACCTGAATCTTCATGCCTTTGTGCGCCGTGGCTTGCACCGCCGCTATGGGGACAATTACATCAATCTCCAGGGTCCCATCCCTGCTCATCTCCTGGGTAAGGACCCATCTTCCCATCTTCCACATGGAGTGTGGTTGGAGAAGGTGTGTGTGGGAGAGGGAGAATAGAATGACATAGACAGGATATCAGGGGTAGGGAAAGCAGTTACGGTGGGTGTCCTGCAGACCTGGGCCTTCTGATAGTGTCCTAAAGGTGTCAAGGGAAGGACCTTGCCCTGTTCAGAAAGAAAACTAGCATTTTTCCACCTGAACACAGACTAGCCTCCTGCTAGGCCTGAGAACCCTAGGATATTCAGAGGAATGTGAGATTAGTCCCCAGATTCTCTAAGTTCTTTTCCTTTCTCCATTCCCAATGTGCCAGGTTGGACCCATTCCTGTATTATGCCCCTAACTCAGACAGCTATGATACTTGCTAGTCACAGGTAATGTTGCCTGCCGTTGGTAATATGGATACTGGGTGTAAGATTTTAGATCTTCTTTGCTTGCTTCTGCAGGAAACATGTGGGCACAGAGTTGGGAAAACATCTATGACATGGTGGTTCCCTTCCCGGACAAGCCTAACCTAGATGTTACTAGCACCATGGTGGAGAAGGTAGGCATACTTCTGTTTAGAGCCATTTTTTAAAAACAGGTATTTGGAGGGGTTTGGGGCAGAGCTCAAGCAAGTCACTGCTTTTACTCCTCCGTCAGTAGGCATACTTCTTCTGAGAGATGGAAGATGATTGTCCTCTGGCCGATTTGGTTTGGTTCTTCCCAAACTGAATGATCTGAAATGCCTGGGACATTACCTCCATTGAAAGCTCTGTGGTCGTGGTGGGCAGCATGGACGGGGAAAGAAGGGCAAGGGTAAACTCAGACATGGGCAGAAGGGCAGGCCTGGGGATAAGGGATGAGGACAGAGAAAATGAGTTAATGCAGAATAAAGATGGGAGACCTAGAGAAAAAGTGTCTTCTTAGTATAATGTGGGCAAGATTCTGCTCTTGGTAAACCCTGAGACTAGTAGGCTAGTGGCCTTCTGCCCTCATAGGCATGCCGCCCCCACCTTCTTCTCCATTCCCCACTATGAGAGTGGAAGAAAACCCTTGCTATTAGTGAATTCTGCCCTCTCTTGTCTATTTCTTTGTGAGTAAATAATTCAGTGCTTTGACTGGGGAGGCTGTAGATGCAAATCACAGAACTAAACCATGCCCCGTCCTCTACTTCAGTCAGGGGATTGGTGACACTCCCTAGGCTGAGTCTCTGGAGGAGACTCAGCTTTGTTATGAGTGGAATCATAAAGTGAGATTAGAGAAGAGAATGGTGAGAGACCAGATTCTCTTTCTACCCTGGGAATTGCTAGTAAAGGATACTGCAGTTGACCCCTGCCTCCTCTTGTTCTCTCACCACCACCAACCCCAGGGCTGGAATGTCACACACATGTTCCGGGTTGCAGAAGAATTTTTCACATCCCTGGGGCTACTGCCTATGCCTCCAGAGTTCTGGGCTGAGTCCATGCTGGAGAAGCCAGATGATGGGCGAGAGGTGGTATGCCATGCCTCTGCCTGGGACTTCTACAACAGGAAAGATTTCAGGTGCACTTTCTCCTACAGGGTACAGGGATTCTTTGGCATTTGGGAGGAATAAGAAGATCTACCAGACAGATACACTGGTCACTCCCCACCTACTGAGGTTACCATTAGCCAGGGTGGTGGGTATATTTGGGGGTCCCTGGGAACATGACAGAAAGGGCTGGGACCCACCGGTGCATGCAGCTCTTACTACTTCCCATTTGCGGAATAAAGCAGGAATTTTGAACTGTTTTTACATCAAAAATGTGGTGTCATAATCTGGTGAAGTCAATGGATCACCTTTTCTCAGAATGATATTTTTAAATGCATGAAATAAAATACATAAGATTACAAAGGAAACCAATTATATTGAAATAGAGTTATCATAATATATATTTTTTTAAATTCATAAGCTTCCTAAAATCTATCCATGGACTCTTTGAAGGTCTATGCATCCCAGGTTAAGAACTCCTGGGCTAGAGGAACATTGCATTTCATTCTCTCCTTGGTAGCTTGTGTGGTCCTCCCTTCTCAACTTTGTTGTCCAGTTCTGTCCTAACTAGGCTGCTCTCTGCTTAGCTCACCCCACCTTATATCCCTTCCCCTGCTCCAGGATCAAGCAGTGCACGAGAGTGACCATGGACCAGCTCTTCACCGTACATCACGAGATGGGCCATGTGCAATATTATCTTCAGTACAAAGATCTGCCTGTTTCCCTGCGAAGGGGTGCCAATCCTGGCTTCCATGAGGCCATTGGGGATGTGCTAGCCTTATCTGTCTCCACACCTGGTCATCTACAGAAAATTGGCCTGCTGGACAGTATTACTTATGACAATGGTATGGGGTAAGAGGGATGACCAGAGATCTCCATTCCCACTTCATCCATAATCCTGATGGCTATTGTTCCTGCCCTTTCTACCCTACCCTGTACCCCAGCCCCCTTTATTCTCATGCTATTACTAGCTTCAGATGCCCTGGTAGAAAAAGTAAATCTCAGAGAGAGCTGGGCATGAGAATGGGAAGAGGGAAGGGCAATGGTCATCATATAGTACAGCCCAAGGTGGGGCTAGGATTGGAGGGAGTATCCTCAATGGGGCACAGGAGAAAAGAACACTAAATTTGGAAGCTGAAGACCATCTCTCAGCCACTTACCACTTGTGTGACTTTGAGCAAATCACCTAATCTCTCTGTTCCTTTCTTTTTTCACTTATAAAATGTAACAATTAGATTAGATGGTCCTTGACATCCTTCCCTTCCAGTTGTGAATGCTATGATCCTTTCTCTACATTCTTCTCCTAGGTCTTGAACTCAGATTCCTTCTTCTTCTTCTTCTTCTCCCAAACCTCTTCTTAACTCTTCCCTCTCCTGAGGCCAATTGTCCAGGATAAATCCTGTCCTTTTCTTCCTTATTACTGGCACTTGTCCTACAACTGTCTTTCAGAAAGTGACATCAACTACCTGTTAAAGATGGCGCTAGATAAGATCGCCTTCTTGCCCTTTGGCTACCTGGTGGACCAGTGGCGTTGGAGGGTCTTCAGTGGGTCTACAACTGCATCTCAATACAACTATGACTGGTGGTACCTTCGGTAAGCGAACACCTAGGGAAAGTGACTCCCCTGTTTTTGTTTGCTTCATCCCTGGCAAAGATACTCTGGGTAGCCAAGAAACCACCAGTTTGCCCCACTTGCTGTTTGTCCTTCCAGTGTTACCTCCCACCATGCCTCTCCCTCCCTGTCCTTCCAGCCCTCCCTCCACCAGAAAACCTTTCATTTTTCAGTGCCATCGGCATAGTGTATTAACTGCTGGATGTGAAATCACCCAGGCTTAGATTCAGATTCCTCTTCTGTTTCCCAGCTGTGGGAACCTGGGGCAAATAAATCACTGACTCCCTCTGAGTCTCAGTTTCTTCATCTGTAAAATGGAAATGATAGTTCCTGCAGTGCCTGACTTAAGAGTAGTTGTGTGTTTCAAAGAAAATAACCCATGGGAGCAGCTAGGTGTCTCAGTGGATACAGCATGGGCCCTGGGGTCAGGAGGACCTGAGTTCAAATCCAGCCTCAGACACTTGACACTTACAAGCTGTGCGACCTTGGGTAAGTCACTTAACCCCATTGCCTATAAAAAAAAAAGAAAAGAAAAAAGAAAATAACCTATGGAAAGCACTGGGCAGACTTTAAAGGGTTCTACATGCCATCCCAAAAGTCTTAGTGCCATATTAAGCCACTTAAGCTTAAGGCTTTAAAGGTGAATGCTGTTAAAGCTTAAAGCTGCACTAAGACTTCTGGAACACGCTGTATAAAAATCAATTGTTCTTGACTGACCCCCATCCTCTGTGATAGTACCTTTTCCATCTCTAAATCTCATGATTTAGGTTTACAGAGCTCTTTCTTCACAGTGGCACTACGAGGTGGGTAGCTAATCTGTATCCCCATTTTACAGATGAAGAAACTATAGCTCAGAGAGTTCAGATGACTGGCCCTTGGCCACATAGTAAAGTGTTAGAACTGGGACTCCAATTCAGGTGTCACCTGATTTCAGACATAGGGCTGTTTCTGTTATTACCACACTATCTCGGCCACCTTGTCTTGTTTCTACAAAAGCCAAACTAATAATAATAATAATAATAATAGCATCAAAACATTTATCACATCGTGCTTCAAGGTTTGCAAAGTGCTTCACAAATATCTCATTGGATCTTCATACCAACCCTGGGAGGGAAATGCTGTTATTATCCTGATGTTATAGTTGAGGAAACTGAGGCAGGCAAAAATGAAGTGTCTTGCTCAGGGTCACACAGCTAGTAAGTATTTGAGGTCACATTTGAAATCGGGTCTTCCTGGATCCAAGACCAGCACTCTGTGCACTATTGGTACCATGTAGCTGCCTTGGGCTAATCAGACTGCCTATATCCAGACCTATGCCTAAACTCCTATGCTCTTGGGTAATGAGTCACTTTTTTTTCTTTTAGGACCAAATACCAGGGCATCTGCCCTCCCATTGCCCGGAATGAAACCCATTTCGACCCTGGGGCAAAGTTTCATGTCCCATCTGTAACACCATACATCAGGTATAGCAATCTTGTTCCATTCTCTCCCTCTCATCCCTCCTATCCCTACTCTATATTCCCTGCAACTGAGTCCCCAATGAACCCACCTCAGGACTAAGATGTGGTTGATTACAAAGTCTAGGGACTGGCCCCAGAGTTTAGGGGAAGAAGGAGGGATGCTGAGATCCATGTTCTTCCTCTGTTCCCCTGGATTCCCCCTGAACCCTACCATCTTAGCTGGTGACAGACAGGAAGTGGAAGCAGAACTTGGGCAATTCCAATGATGCCAAGAAATGTGCCCACAGGTATTTTGTGAGTTTTGTCCTTCAGTTCCAGTTCCACAAAGCCTTATGTGCTGAGGCAGGCTATAATGGGCCCCTGTACTACTGTGACATCTATCAATCTCAACAGGCTGGTGCCAAACTCAGGTAAGCTTTGAAGGGGGGAACGGTCATGGAAAGGAAGAGGGAGGATAAAGTAAATAGCATGGTACTCTACGCAAGTGGAAAGAGGAATGGCAGATTATGCCATATATATGGTGCAACCACCTCTCTACCATTACAGCTGTAAGTAGACTGACGTAACCGGTGTAAGGGGAAGAGAATAAGCATTTATATAGTGCTTATTTGGTGCCAGGCACTGTGCTGAGCCTATTACAAATACTATCTCATTCGGATTCTCATAACAACCCTGTGAGGTAGGGCTGTTACTATCTCCATTTTACAGTTGAGGAAACTAAGGAAAACAGAACTTGTGACTTGTCCAGGGTCACACAGCTAGTGAGGTCAGATTTGAACGTGGTTCTTCCTGACTCCAGGCCCAGGACTGTATCCCCTACACTTCCTGGCTGTGCAGCTGTTACTGGCTGTTGCAGGTTAATTTGCCATTCCCAATTTTCTTCATCCCTTAAATTAGAGAGCATATGGATTTCCATGGTTCTCATGGTCTGATTTACACAGGAGCAGCCAGAGATGTAGAGAACCCCAATCTGAGAAACAAGGCAGATGGACTCTGTCAGAGATCTCTCCTGATCCCCCTGTGCCCACTGCAGGGAGGTGTTGCAGGCAGGTGCTTCTCGGCGTTGGCAGGAGGTGCTTAAGGAGATGACAGGCTCAGAGACCCTGGATGCAGGACCACTTCTTGAATACTTTGAGCCCCTCACCAATTGGCTGACCGAACAGAACGAGATCAATGGCGAGGTCCTGGGCTGGCCTGAATTTGAGTGGCGTCCACCAGTGCCAGATGGCTATCCAGAGGGCATCGGTAATATCTGCAGGGGAAAACAGAGCCAGACCCCAAATTCCTGGTACTAGAGCTCACTTCATTTCTAGCAAAAGCTTTCTGTTACTCCTGTAATTAAAGAGTCAGAATGTGGGTGAGGTCCCATCCCACACACTTCAGGCAACTCTGTGAGCCCTTCAGAAGTGACTGTGGGATTGGAAGATACCTCACCAGCTTCTTATACCTTGGAGCTACTTCATAAGCTCAAAAATCCTTTCAGATTCCAAGCTGATCCATAGGTTCTGAGTTCTTAATGCCTAACCTCTGTGAGGTTGAACTATGAGCTATGTTTTGATTGGCTGGGATGTTGGGTTGCTTGGCTCTGGTAATCGTGGGTCAAGGTTGGGTGCTTCAGGAAATGCTCCCATTCCTTTATTGTGGGCTGATCTTATGGCTTCTCAGTTTGGGAAAAACTCAGAGCCTGGGTGGAGGTCAGACTTGGAGAAAAGGGAAGGGAGAAAGGAGGGAATTGTTAGTCACAGAGAGGGGAAAGGGAGGGAAAAGGGAAATCAATCAATCTATCAAATGAGCGTTTATTGTTTGTTAAGCATGCCAGGCACCCATGCTAAGCACTGTGGTTTCAGAGACAAAGAGGAAAGGAAATGGGAAGAAACGAGATGAAAAAAGGGTGGGGAAAAGAATGAGAAGATAGGGAGAGGTGAAGAGTCTGGGTTGGAGAAGAAAGAAGAGGGCTACCTTGAACCAGGTTTATGTCTTTCCCCTTCCTCCCTTCAACAGACAAGCTGACTGATGAAGCAGAAGCCGAGAAGTTTCTTGAGGAGTATGACCAGTTGGGACAAGTCATAACGAATGCATATGTAGAGGCCAGCTGGGCTTACAACACAAACATCACTGAAGAAAATAGCAAGATTATGGTATAGTCTCCCACAGGCTCCTCTCCTACTAGCCCCATCTCTGGAGTTGCCTCCATTCTTGAATTTGTTTAAGAAAAAGCTTCATTCTGTCTCTCATGGTCCCTTCCCCCCCCCCTTCCTTTTCTGTCTTTGGTCCCACCCTTAATGCCTAAGAAACAGGAAGGAAAGCTGCTTTGTCTGGTGGGAGAATGAGGTATAGTAGCTGGAGCCCTCATCTTTATCTCACATTCATAATAGGGATAAATTGAGCTATAGTAAACATTACTAATTCAAAGTAAAGAGGATCAGTAAAGGAAGAATAGTAAGAATTCACAAAAATTTTAAATTACAGAATTTTTTTTTAATCAAATGCAGTTTTGTTCAAGTCAGGGTGAGTTATTTTCCTCTCTTAATGGGTAGTACTTAAGTCTTTAGGGATGCCTCATCAAACCCTCCCAAGCCACAAAGCTTCTAGCATTAGTTTAGCAGCAGACAATGCTAGCCATCCAGGGGTGTGCTGGTAAATGCTTAACAACTAATTCTCCAAAGGAAAGAAAAGGAAAAAAACCAAAACCTGTTCTTGCAACACATTTTTTAGATTAATCTATATTATTAATATTTTCTCTATCATTTTAAGTCCAGATAATCAAAAATAAATAAATAAGTCAAGCCCTAATTTATAACATTTGCCAATTTCCAAAGTACAGATGCTCACACTGAAAATTTAACAATTGGGTAGCTGGTATTAGCTGGCTCCAGCATACTTCTGCTGCCATCAAAGGACCAGCTGTTCTAAGTTCTGAGGAGCTTCTCTCCCCAGAGGTTTAGTCACCAGATGGCGAATCATTTTGGCCATACCGACCCATGAAGACTAGAGTGAGACACATAGAACATTTATGATCTATTTTCGGGGGTGCGGATGGGGAGAGGAAGTGGAGAAGGATCTTTACCAATAATGTTATGGATCTTGATAATGTTGAAAGATGTAGGATAAGGATAGGGACCTAGCCTATGATAGTTCACGATAGTATGGCAAATTCCCAGGTAGGGAAACTCTACCAGGGCAGAATGGTACTGTCTCTGCAACTGCAGAGGTGTCAGACATGCAGCCCACAATATTCTTGAGTTCTGCCCAAGTCAGATCAATGTGTAGCTGGGAAATATTTAATAAAATTAAAAACAATAAAATATAGATATTACGTTTTAAAACCAAATCAATATGTGGTCTCCAGGGATCCTTATGTATGTATTAATGACCTTAATTTCTCTTTGAGTTTGACACCATAGGCCTACAGTGCTGAGAGATGACTTGGTCAAGGTCACAAAGTTAATGCACGTCAAGGTCAGGGCTTGAACCCAGATCTTACCGTCTCACACTAACCATCTATAGGTAAAAAAAATCCTTTGCAATTAATATACAAATTACTTTCATGTTGCAAAACTTAAAAGTGCTATATAAATGCTGATGATTATTATTTGTATGAAAATGATGCTACCAAACTAAATTTAAAGTTTTATTCAAGCAAATTTAAAATCTATAGAAATGATTTGTTTGCCAGTACTCAGAAGCAAATTAAAATATTCTGATCTTGACCTTCCTTGTGTCAAGTTAAATATTCTGATCTTGACATTCCTAGCCTATATCATATAGAGCTAGATTTTAGTCCAGCATGCCAAATGCTAATTACACTTGTAAAGTTGGGCTCCCCAATTCTGTCTCTGTCAACACTTAACTTTCTTGAGGGTTAGCATAGCATTTGTCCAGTAAAGACATATGCGCCATGCCCTAGAGGCTCCCTGTGTACTCTTGGGCAAGTCATTTCTCTCTTGGTTTCACTTTCTTCCTCCAGGTTCTAGTCCAATTTCAAATGCAAAACTGTTTGATTCCTAAGACCCTGAACATCCGTCCTTTAGTGATTGGTACCAAATTGGACTAGGCAATCCTAGTCCTTGCTTCCAGCTCTGCCACAAATGATTTTTGTGTTGTTACCTAAAATTCCAAGTTCTTTATAAAACTAGGGCAGGTAGTAAGGCCCTGTGGATGAAGATTTGGCTTCAAAGTCAGGAGGAATCCAGGATCAAGCCATGCCTCTGATACATGCTGACTGTGTGATCCTGGGCAAGAAATTTAACTTCCTGGTACTCTAAGGTTATAAACTGCAGAGAATGTTCTGACTTACATGGCAGAGGGGAGTTTCCTTACCTGAGAGTTTCCTATGTCAGTGAAATCACAAGTGCAGTACTTATTCATGTGAATCAAATTTAAAGCTAGAAGAAACCTTAGAGGTCACCTAGGCCAACCCCCTCATTTTTATAGATAAAGACACTAAATTCCATAGAGGTTCCAAGGTCACAAAGGTAGTGAGCAGCAGAATCAAGATTCATACCTAAGTCCCCAGACTCCCTATCCAGTGTCTTCTCCACTGTATCATAAGCTTTGAACAAATGAAGGTAGCAGATTTGCCAATATGTTCCTTCAGGTGCTGACCCTAAGCCTCCACCCTCAGGTTCCATCTGTAGGTCTTGAGAAGAGAGATAGTCTGTCTATTGGAAGGAACAGATTGGGCATCTATGTATGGAGAACACAGTTGCCTGCCCTAGGGTCTACTTTCAGAGATATAACTAGAGTAGTTACAACCAATGCAGCTGGATGAAGCACCTTTGCTTTGCTATCCCCGATTTCCTGCTTCCCCAAGATAGCCCTATCCCAATCCAAAGGTTGGGACCAGAGGTGGGAATGAATTGTAGGACCTAAGACTTCTTTGCCTTTTGTGGATTGGATCATTGGGATAGCTTAGCCCTTATGATTCTGCCCTCCTAGTTGGAAAAGAACCTGGAATTGTCTTCTCACACACTACAATATGGCACTCATGCCCGCCAGTTTGACACCAGCAATTTCCAGAAGTCATCGGTGAAACGGCTCCTGGAAAAGCTTAAAGATCTAGGTCGGGCAGCCCTGTCCACTACAGATTTGGATAAGGTATGATTATGGCTCGAGATAAGGGGGCCCCCATTGTTTGGGAGAATCCCAATAGAGAACAACAGATTAGGAGGGAGGAAGAGTTGCCTAAGGAGATAAGAGCTGGAAAGGGTTAAAGGTCTCTAAAGAGGAAAAGGCAGTACCGTGGCACTTCCTAGGTAATACCGTTGCCCTCCCCTTGCTGCTTTTCCTAGTACAATAAGATACTGTTGAAGATGGAATCAGCTTACAGTACAGCCAAAGTGTGCCAACAAAATGGATCCTGTCTACCCCTGGATCCTGGTGAGTATGGATGTGTGTTTCTAAAGGAAACGGGTGGAGGAAGTGAAGAGGAACAGATAAGGCTAGCTGTGATGGAGATAGAGCCAGGAGGGTCCTTCCCTTATTCTGCTCATCAGGTCCTGAAGTTTGGTGTGGTTGTGGATTACTCTTATCTTCTCCCTTAGTTTTGTATAGTGGAAAGTGTCCTGGGCTTGGATTGGAGTGCCATCTTTTGTACTTGTGAGCTGGGTGGCCTTGGACAAGTCACTTGAACCCAAGTCATCTGTAAAATGGGGATAATGATCCTTGCATTGAGTTGTCAAGAGGAAAGTGGTTTTGGGGGGGGCTAGGCAATGGGGTTAAGTGACTTGCTCAAGGTCACACAGCTAGTAAATGTCATGTGTCTGAGGCTGGATTTGAACTCAGGTCCTCTTGACTCCAGGGCTGGTACTCTATCCACCACGCCACCTAGCTGCCCCCAAGAGGAAAGTGTTTTGCAAATTCTAAAGCACTCCTTTGAGATCTTCATCCCTGGTCCTTTTCCTGACTACATCACCAAGGCCAGGTCTACTTTACCTGAACTTGATTCATCACCTTGCCTTGGACCCAAACCATTTCTTCATTCTCACCCTCAGTATTCAGATATTCTAGGCCTATTGAGTTTCCTAATTAAGACTTCACTGGCTGTTCCTGCAGAGAGTGGATCTTGTTTATATTTGGCTCAGCCCATCTCTTCCCCCTTTCTTCCCTTCTTGCCCAAAAGGTTTTTCCCATCCACCTCTAATTGCAAACCCAGTCAGTCCCTCTTCTTCCAAGAAGCTTCCATGGATGGTAGACTTGAGGAGACATTCCTCCCTGTTCAATCCTTGTCCGTAGTGGCCTTTACTGCCCAGTATCTCCATCAGAATAATAGTGAATAGGAATGGAGGAAAGAAGAACAAACACAGAAGACAAAAAGTCCTCTTCCTCCCCTCCTTTACCCTGGATGAGGCTAGGCATATGAGTATATGATGTGTGTGTATACACAGGATAGAATGTGTGAAAAGAAGAGTAACGTCCAGAAATCATGAATCCATGATTCTGCTGTATTTGCCATTAATCATGCTCCATTTTAAGTGTTTCATCCCATCTGGGCTATTAAAAGATGTGGAAAAACCTGGAAAAGGTCCAGAGAAGGAAGAGGAAGATCAAAGGATGGAAACTGAGTCCTATGGGGAAAAGCTTATTGGCATAATAAGAATAGCTCACACCTCTGATCTGTGTTTTAAAGTTTACAAAACACTTTGCTTATCAGAACCCTAAAAAGTATGTGGCATAAGTAGGAAGGAAGGAAGGGAACAAGCATTTGTTAGAGGCCTACTGTGTGCCAGGTACTGTGCTAAGTGCTTTACAGATATCTCATTTGATCCTCACAGAATCCTGGGAGGTAGGTATTATTATGATCACCGTTCTACAATTGGGGAAACTGAGACAGAAGTTAAGTGATTTGCCCGAGGTATTGTCTTGATCAGAGTGCCTAAGTCTTTCACACTTGATCATCCTTACAATATTGCTGTTACTATGTATGGTATTCTCCTGGTTATGCTTACTTCACTTTGCATCAGTTCATATAAGTCATCCCAGGTTTTTTCTGAAACCATCCTGCTCATCATTTCTTATAACAGAATATGCCACAACTCATTCAGCCAATTCCCCAATTGATGGGCATTCCCTCAGTTTTCCAATTCTTTACCACCACAGAAAAGAATTGCTAAGAATATTTTATGCAAATTCATTCTTTTCCCTTTTCTTTGTTCTCTTTGTCTATCCGCTATATATCATCTAGCCACCTACATGGTATTATATCGGTTTTATAATTGAAAAGCTAAGGCAGATGGTCACGTGGCTAGTGAGCGTCAGAGCTGGGAGAAAGGTACTATTATTATTACCCTATTTTACAGTTGAGGAAACTAAGGCAAACGGAGGTTAAGTGACTTGCTGAAGGAGACACACTTAGTAAATGTTAGAGGATGGATTTGAACTCAGGTCTTCCTAGCTCCAGGCCCACTGCTCTATCCATTACAACACCTTCGACACCTAGCTGCACAAGTCATCAACTTGAGTTTGAGAGGTAAAGTTTGTAAGGGTAGGAGTGGGATCAGGGCCTTGTGGGAACATATCAGATTTGAAGATGTTGATGTGGGGAATGTGATTAGGGATCAACAAAGATAGAATAAAAGGATTGCCGAAGAGTTGGGGAGGGGGAAGGGAAAGCCAGCTAAGATCATGCAGCATAAATTTCTAAATGAATTTCTAATGAGTGAATCAGTGTGATTTTGCAACTTCCAGTAACACTCAGCTCAGACAGTACCATCTTATCTACAGTTGTTACTTTAGGTTTTTCCAGCGACCTTCGCATCTGTCATTTTTGAATCTCCCAGTGCTAGGAGGTAACCTGGGCATTTTGGTAGATCCCCATTTTACAGATGAGGAAGATCTCATAGAGGGGAAATGTCTGACCTGAGATAATGTAGTGAATTAATGGAAGAGCCAGAGCTAAAATCCATTGTACCATACTGCTTCTCTCGTCCATTCCTATATGACCCCATTAAGGTCTATTCTAGCTCTGGGATTGTCGTGTGTGTGTGTGTGTGTGTGTGTGTGTGTGTGTGTGTGTGTGGTTTACACTTGGGGACCTTGTATTCAATTTATATTAAATGCACTCAGATTTGACGGAGTTGATGGCCTCATCTCGGAACTATGATGACCTACTCTGGGCGTGGAAGGGTTGGAGGGATACTGCAGGACGAACTGTCCTTCCCGACTTCCCGGAGTATGTGGAGCTTAGCAACAAGGCTGCCCAGCTCAATGGTGAGTATCCGCCTATTCTCCTTGTCCCTCCTGGTATACTGGTCTGCAGACTGCCCTGGGAACCCACAGACCTCACAGTTTATCCTCCGAGGCCCTGACTTTAGGGGAGAAACAGAGACTTGGGGACAGGTCCCATGAGTGAGATGAGCTGGGAAGCCAATGCTAGGTGACCAGGGGAATCCGTAAGAGCTGGATCTCGTTCTCACCTGTGCCCCAGGCTATGCTGATTCTGGAGCCTACTGGAGAGCCCAGTATGAAACACCTTCCCTAGAGCAGGACCTGGAGAAAATTTACCTGGAACTGCAGCCCCTCTACCTGAACCTCCACGCGTATGTCCGTCGTGCCCTGTACCGTCACTATGGAGCCAACTACATCAACCTTCAAGGGCCCATTCCTGCTCATCTGTTAGGTGAGAAGGAGATGAAGGACTGAGGCCAAGGGATAGTGGCAGGGAGGGGAGGGTGAAGGCTTGATGGTAGAGATGGATGTGGGAGATACAGGGTTAGGTCTCGGTAATAGGAAAGAGGCCTGGGGCTGGGGATGAAGAACAGGCAGAATGGGACCAGAGAGATATAAGGAACCTCTGATGAGAGCACCAGGACAAGCATTAGAATAGATAGTGGAGAAAAGTGTGAGTGCAGGTGGCAGGGAGGAGAGGGGCTGCCATAGGAGGGGAGTGTGGACTCTTTTGACCAGGAAACATTTCCACGGTTAGGAGAATTGAAAGGCTTGAGACTATGGGTTATGTTGCCAAGGCTGCTATATCCCTAGTGGCCTGACTCGCACTCAAGCCAGCCCTCCCCTTTTGAGTGTTATAGTAATGGCTTTAAGCACAGAGGAGAGATGGAGGGAGAGGCAGGACACAATAACAATAACCCACACTTTTATGGCACTTTATGACTTACACAGGTGCTTTTCCCCATAGGCCCATGAGATTAGGTCATGCTAGCATTACCATCTCATGTTGTAGGTGAGAAAGCTGAGTCTCAGAATGTTTAAGGAACCTGTCCCTGTCAGAGGAAGGAAAGAAACCCAAGTTTTCTAGCTTCAAGGCCAAAAGTCTTTCCTACTCTGGTGGCACAATGCATAGGGCACTGGGCTTGGAATCAGGAAGGCTCATCTTCATTAGTTCAAATATGGCTTCAGACGCGATTAGCTGTGTGACCTTGGGCAAGTCACTTCACCCTGTTTGCCTTGGTTTCCTCATCTGTAAAATGAGCTGGAGAAGGAAATGACAAACCAACCTAGTATCTTTACCAAGAAAACCCCAAATGGGATCATGAAGAGTCAGACACAACTGAAATGAATGAACAATTTACTGCCATGTATTCAAGAGAAAGGAAAAAAAAAATCTGGCTTTGCAAGACAGCTCCCATAGGATTCCCTGCTTGGTTTAGATAAGTCTTTCAAATCTACAAGGATCTCTTAATCTGAAGCATAGACCCTTTAGGCAGTCTAATGAAGCCAATAAACCCCACCTAAAATGTTTTTAAAGGCAGAAAATTTTATATATACATACACACATATATATGTGTGTGTGTGTGTATATATATAGATATATATATATATATATACATATATATGTATATAGATATATACCCACATATATATGATTACACAGGAAACCAATTATATTGCAATACAGTTATCATAATACTTTTTTAAAGGTTCATGGACCCCATGTTAAGAACCCAAACCTAGAATCATGTTCTATAGAATAAGATATGTTAAGATGTATGTGTGTGTCCATGTAAGACACATATGTCCACTAGAGTTGTTTAAATGAGTTCGAGTCCTGGCTGTGACAGAATCATAGCTAGTAACTATGACCTTGGCCAATACATTTAACCTTATGGAGCCTCACTTTACTCATGTCTAAAATGGGATGATAATACTCCCGAGGTTTGTAAACCCTAAAACACAAGAGATGGGGCAAGGTGGAATAACTCCCAGAAAGCCCATGTTCTTCCTTGCTTAGTCTGACTTTTCTTTTCCCATTAGTTACCGATCTTCTCTCTCACTTGATGTTCTTCAGCATCAGATCAGTCTCTCCCCTTTGTTCTACTTTGAATCCCTAGAACCATCTCATCTCTCCTGAAGAAGAGGCCCCACCTCTGTGTGCTCATAGCCACAGTTAGGTACTTGCCAGTTGTGTGCAGATGAGATACAAGTCACATGAACGTAGGAGATTTTACAGAATAAGGCATAAGTAGATTCTGTTCTCAGGATGGTCAGAAGGTCCAAGGGACTCAGCTTTTGTCCCTGGGACTGGGAAGAAAGCAAGAGTGTACTTACTATTATTAGTATTAATAATCATCAATATTTAATCATTCTTACTATTTTAATTATTATTAATATCTCACACTTATGTAGTGATTTAAAGTTTCCAAAGTACTTTCCTCATGAAAACACTGGGGGTAGGGTAACATAAATACTCCTATCAAATAAGGACACAGCTAGTGGAGACAGCACAAACTCCCCTGACTTGAACACTTTCGTTTCTCTTTCTCTCTTTTTCTTTTCAGAATTTGAGTTTTAATTGGTTCTACTTTTTAACTGTTTATGGGGTTTTTTTAATTCATGCCTAATTCTCTCTCTCTTTTTAGAATTTGAGTTTTTAATTGGTTTTACTTTTGCTATTTATGAGGTTCTACAATTATTATCAATACCATTTGTTTTTACTTTACCTTCATTTCTAAATATATGCCACAGCCCTCTTTTATCAACAGCCATCCCCTGTAACAAAGATAAAAATAGGGGAAGAAAACCCCAACACATCAACTATGTCTTCTGACAATATTCAATATTCCACATCCATAATCCTACACCTCTCAAAGAAGGAACGGAGCCAGCACTCCTTCTGAACTTATTCCAGGATGGTTCTCTCCTCTTGGGTATTAATAAATATCTGTGTTTAACCTCTTTCTCTCTCTTTCCTTTTCCTCTGAACCTTCCTCCAGGCAACATGTGGGCTCAGAGCTGGTCCAACATCTATGAGTTAGTGGTGCCTTTCCCTTCGCCCACCAGGTGGATGCCACTCCAGCTATGAAAAGCCAGGTCAGTGATCTGTCTGCCCTGCTCTCTGCTCCTCACACAGCCCTTCTTCCCCCAATCTTGTGCCTTCTGACATTCCTCCACTCTTGATTCCGTGATACTCAGTGAGCAGGAGGAGAGGAGGGATCCAGTGGGGGTGAAAGGAGTTCTCTGCTGCTTAGAGGGGTCCTTTTCCACACTGCACCCCTTCCGCTACCCCGCACCCTCAACATTGTCTCTTGGCCAGCGTGCATTTAGGGCTAGAGTCGTGACCTTGGGCAAATCACTTCCCTTCTCTGGGACTCAGTTTACTTTTGAGGGGTTGAACTTTGACAACCATTGAAGTACCTTCCAGTTCTCCAGCTATGATCCTATGATTCTTTGGTCTTTTGCCTTCAGGGCTGGACCCCTCGGAGGATGTTTGAAGAGGCAGATACATTCTTCCAGTCCCTGGGTCTGCTGCCCTTGACCCCTGAGTTTTGGAATAAGTCAATGCTGGAAAAGCCAAACGATGGGCGAGAAGTAGTGTGCCATGCTTCTGCCTGGGATTTCTACAATGGCAAAGACTTCAGGTGGGGCAGAAAGTGGTGATATCCCTTCAGATCCCTTTGGAGAAGGGGAAAGGAGCCTAGAGAAAGTGGTGACAATCCCACTCTCTCTGTCCCTCCCCTCACATCCACCAATCAAGAATAAGGAGAAAACCTGACTGGTTAGTTCAGAAGGTTAGGACACCATGATGGTTTGATCAACATGTTAGGGAACACGCATTTATTAAATGTCTACTGTGTGCCAGGAGCTGTGCTAAGTACTTTGCAAAGATCTCATTTGATATTCACAGTAACCTCGGAAGGTAGGTGCTGTTATGATTCTCATTTTATAGTTGAAGAAATGGAGAAAAGCAGAGATGGTTAAGTGACTTGTCCAGGGCCCAGACAATAAATATCTGAGGTTAGATCTGAACTCAGGTCTTCCTGATTCCAGGCCCTTCTGACTCTACTGTGCCAATAGTTGGCATCCAGGGCTACGAACAACATTTCTAACTCTGCGTGGTCCAAGCCAGCACGTGGTCACAAATACATGCTACCTTTCACGAAAAAGTTTTTCAACAAAAAGTGTGGCCTCTGGAGCAAAGATCCAACTAACAGTGAGTGAGAAGTACTATATATATGTGTGTGTGTGTGTGTATATACATCCCACTTTGGGAGAGCAGGAAGAAAGACCCTGATGACTGAACAGAAAATTAAAAGAAGGAAGGTTTATGGTTAGCCTTTGGAGCCCACTACTGCAAAGGCACAAGGACTGCAGCCTCAGAAAATAGGAGTAGGGTGGATCAGGGATGCTGCAATCTATTTAATACATGGGGTGTCAGAACTGGAATGGACCTTAAATGTCATTTATAGTACAGTCCTCTCATTTTGCCGAGGTCACACAGGAAATAAGTAGCAAAGCCAGTGTGATAGGACCAATGTATTGCCAGGGTTCCCTCTCCACATGAGTTAGGCTAGTTTTTTCCCCAAAAATCAACAAAGCTACCCCCACCCCGGCCACACACACACACACAACATGATTGGCCTAGGGGGCCAAGGCTTTCTGATTACCTAAGGGTATAAAAAGGGCCCTGACAACTTAATGTCCTTAACTGACCAGGAAACCGTGTCCATGTAGAATCTACAAGGAAGCTGTGTCAACAGAGAAGCTGCCTAATCCTTCCCCTACCCCCCTTACCAGTCCCCTCTCCCAGTCAGTCGAATAGCTTTTTTAAGGAAAAACTAGTCTAACCCATGTTAGGGATGGAGGAAGGGAGAACCTTTGCGGCTAGGCACTGCAGCAGATAGAGCACTAAGCCTAGACTCAAGAAGACCTGAGTTCACATGCAGCCTCAAATAGCTGTGTGACCCAGGGCAAGTCACTTAACTTGTTATTTAATCTGCCTCCATGTCTTCTGCTGTAAAATGGGTACCATCACCTATTTGCCAGGTTTATTGTGAGGATCAAATGAGATAATATTTATAAAGCACTTGGCATATAGTAGGTGCATAACAAATGCTTGTTTCCCTCCTATCACAACCAGGATTCGAACTCTTTACAAGTCTAATCTAGAACTTGCTTGTTTGTTTTGTTTTTAATTTCACCTCTTTCTGATAATATTTGTGGCTCAATATTTTTCAGAGGGGTAGAGCTGGGGCTTTTCTTGTACACTTAGTTGAATCAGGAGAGAAGATAGATAGAAACTTAGCCTCCTGGTGCCAAGTTGTTTCACTCTGTCTCTCCTGAGGATAATAACTAAGGAGAAATAGACCTTGTCACACTGAAACAAGAGGGATTCAAGGGAGAATTGGACTCAGTTCCCAGAGGAGGTTAGGGAGATCTCAATAAGAGAGTAGTAGACAACCTTCTGACTTGGATGGCTTAAAACAGGGGGGTCAAACATCAGCCTGCAGGCAGGGCCTCAACCAAATTAAAACGTAATTGAGAAATATTTAACAAAATAAATAAAAATGTAATAGGACATAGATAATATTAATATGTAGTTTTTAAGTCAGGATGCAGATGGTCAAGGGATCCTTATGTACAATTAAGTGACTCCATTTCTATTTGAGTTTAATAGCACTAACATAGAGGCAGTTAATTCACTCCAATTCCACAGAAACCTCTTACAATGCCTAGCCTGTGAAAGGAGACAAAGGAAGGATGCGACACTGCTTATCCTTTCAGGGAATTCAGTCATGTTGGAGAGACATAGCTCATACAAATAATAGAATTATGAAATAATTGAAGAATAATATCACACATAATACTGAGTTTCATCTAATACCAAGGTGTTTATAGAGAGAGCAAACATAGTGAGAGCAGTTAGGGGATCAGCTAACCTCTTTAGATGGTTCCAACCCCAGAATTCTCCCTCTTGTTCTTTTTCGTTTTCTTCCCTTGCTTTCTAATCATATCATCTTTCTGGTATAGCAACAGAGAAGAGAAAATCCTTTCCATGTACAGTCCAACCAGCCGACTTTGTTGGTCTGTCAATCTGTCCCTCTTCCTGACTCCCTCTGCCTAGCAAGCTCTCATACTCTTTTCTGCTGACCCCTGTTCTGTCTCTTTTGCACACAGGATCAAACAGTGCACGACGGTGAACATGGAGGACCTCATCGTCATCCACCATGAGATGGGCCATGTGCAGTATTTCATGCAATACAAAGATCAGCCTCTGGCCTTCCGAGATGGTGCCAACCCAGGTTTCCATGAGGCTATTGGAGATGTGCTGGCACTCTCTGTCTCCACCCCCAAGCACTTACACAGTATTGGTCTGCTGGATAATGAGGGCGAGGGCTATGGTAAGCTGGGGGTGAGGACTCAGGAGTGGAATAAAAAGTCAAAGATGGGCAGCAGAAGCTTAGGGAGAGACTTGGGGACCAGGGTACAGGTGTGGGAGCAAATATCAAGTGAATGTAGGGAGCAGAATTGGGATAAGGATTAAGCAAGATCAGAAGCTGCCTATGAAATAAGGGGTGAAGGAAGATGCTTTTTAATGTCACCTTTTAGAAATGTACATTTTTAATACCAAAAAATCCCACTCTTCACAAATAGGAATTGGTGGTGTGCAAGTCAATCCACATGCATTACAGCAGAAGCTCCAAACCTTGCCCATAGAGCACAGATTCCTGGTTCTGGTTCTGCTGGGAGGAAGGCCATTGAGAATAAATTGGAGAAACCAGAAACAGACAGGGAGAGGGGTTCCTGAGCTGATTACCTCTATCCTCTTTACCAGAGAGTGAGATCAACTATCTGATGAGTGTTGCCCTGGACAAGATTGCCTTCCTTCCTTTTGGTTACCTCATTGACCAGTGGCGCTGGCGGGTGTTCGATGGGAGCATCAATCAGAAAGATTACAACCAGGAGTGGTGGAACCTCAGGTCTGCATGGGCAAGGCTTTGTTGGTACTGATGGGTGTAGGGAGTATATGAGAGGAGGTCATGGTTCAGGGACAGAACCCCTGGGTTCAGGTGCCCCTGGAGGCTGGGACCTGGGCAGCCTTGTGTCGGGTTCTTGACCCAACCTGAAGGACTGGGGCAGTCCCTGGGGTACAAGAGATCCACCTCTAAGCCAGCAAGGCTGGTCAGTTTTCACTGTACATACATAAGTACACACACACACTCTTTTCTAAACTCACATACTTTATTTACCAAGACAACAGGATTAAACCCACTCCTGCCCCTCCAACAATGCTTTTTTTCCTTTTCACAGGCTAAAATACCAGGGTCTGTGTCCACCGGTGCCCAGAACACAAGAAGACTTTGACCCAGGTGCCAAGTTCCACATACCTGCAAATGTGCCCTATCTCAGGTAAAGAAAGGATCAGGGGCCATCTGGGAAAAGAGGGGAACTATTAAGAGGCATTAATGGGAAGGAGCTAATGTCAATGAGTATGTAAAAAGAGATGACAGTGAAGACTGCTAGGTGGCACAATGGATAGAGCACTGACCCTGGAGTCAGGAAGACTTGAGTTCAAATGTGGTCTCAAAAACTTGACACCAGCTATGTGACCCTGGGCAAGTCATTTAATCCCAAGTGCTGAGAGAGAGAGAGAGAGAGAGAGAGAGAGAGAGAGAGAGAGAGAGAGATGATAGTGTGATAGTGCTCCAAAAAATCAGCAATCATGTATTAAGCTCCTACTGTATGCCAAGCATTGTGATAGGTGCTAAAAATGCAAAAGTGAGCCTGATAGTTTCTACCCCTGAGGAACTTCTAGGGGGATACAACACATATTGGAGAGCAACCACCAAAAAAGGTAGGTTTGGTCTAGGCCAGAGATTCTTAACCTTTTTTGTATAATCCCTTTGGCAGTCTGAGAAAGCCTGTGGGCTCCTTATCAGAAGACTTTAAAATACAAAAGCTAAAATACTTAGGATTACAAAGGAAGCCTGTGGACTCCTGTATCAGAATGTTATAAAATACAGGAACTGAAATACTTAGGGTTACAAAGGAGACCAATATTTTGAATCAGTTATCAAAACGTTAAAAAACCAAGTTTGTAGGGTCCCCCATTCCACCCCTTTAGGACATTTGGCCTAAAAAGTCACTGTGGAGTCAGGGAGCAATTAATTGTAGTAGCGATGGTAATATTGGTTGGATTATTGTTCCCATTTTCTCCTGGTCTCTGGTCTACTGTTGAGGCTTCCAGTGCTCTGAAGAATATAGTCGAACCTCATATCCCAGCACAGTGGGCTATGCCGTATTTGTCCCCCTGTTTCGGTTAAATCCCTGATTATTGGTGTTTGTGCTGACCTGAAACTACCCTGGTCAGAGGATTGGCAGGTTTTAGGTCCAGTTTCTAGAGCTGGAGATGGTTTCCTTGGCATGGCTCCTTTGCCCACCTCTGCTAACTGCCAGCCCTTCACTAGACATCCCTGGCTGACATCCCTGATGGGACCCTCTCCCCACCTCTGCAAGTTTCTGGCTCTCTTTTCTTTTTGTGTAGCTCTGGACCGGATAAAGGGGTCTGCTTCTGTTTTGGTTTTGCTTTATTTTCAGTTTCCTTTATCATTGGATTTTATAGAGTTCTTTTTAGATATTTTCTGGCTGAATGCTGAGGCTTCTTTACATTCATATCTTCATCTTAACTAAAAGCCTTTGGTTATAAGCTTGTGTTTTCTTCTATTAAATGTGTAAGGGGGAGGGGATTTGCTTTCCCCCCTAGCTCAGTAGATATAACAGAATTCATGAAGTGCATGGGATTCATATGTTAAAACGGTGCAGAGTGCTGATAAATCTTTTTGTGAGGTGTGAATAGTTCTCTTGAGTAGATTAAAGGGAACAACCTCTATGCCTGAGCAAACAAATTAATCATGCATCCTTGGGGACTTAAAATAGCTAAGAGCTGGGGAGTTAATAGAAGTGAAAGCTCAGAAGTACTTGGTGGAGAAGACTACTGAAAAAAATTGGCAGGGGAAGGATTTCTCTCTTCTCCCCCTCCCCCATTAGCCATGATATCTAGCAATACCGCAAGAGACACCTAATCTGGCAGTTCTACAGTTCTTTTGGCTTGGGAGAATTCAGGAAGCAGATGCACATTCCAGACAGACATGGATACAGAAAGGGTGTTGCTCAAGGGATGGGAAGCGACTTCAAAGACTGAGACCTCTGGCAGGGAAGAAGAGAGCCAGCTATGGAGATGAGCAGACGCTGAGCAACTTCTATAGCAGAGGTGCTCTAGGCGATAGGAACTGTATAATGATTCTGTGAAGAAAGAAAGGCCTTACAGGCCTTGCAATAGCAGGAGTCGTGAGTTGCCATTGCTACCCATAAACCCTATGCAAGCATTGCCTCAGTACCATTCATTGTACTCTACATTTGAACCCACCCTTGTCGTGATTGGTGTGTGTCTAGGAAGGAGAGCGTGCCCTAGGTTTGTGAAGATGGTGTTTTGTAGATGTTTTTTCACTATGCCATTTTAGCAAACATCTTTGCTTAGAGGTAATTATATCTACTGGCTAACTGTTAATGAGAATTATATCATGGAGGCTTGTGAACTTTATAGTTTAGGAGCTGGTACTCCTTCTAAATTCTCAAAGTTCTAAGTACCCTCTTGGGAATTATGTATGTATACATATGTATATACATATATGTATATATGTATATACACACATATATATTATACATACATATATACTATTTACTATTATATTACATATGCATATATACTCTCCTCTTCCCTTTCAAGACTCTACTTAGTCCCTGCAGTTTATTTTAATTACACTGAAGTGGTCCTGGTCTCTTCTCCCAGCTTCCCTCCGTTCTATTACTCTGCTTTTCAGAATTTCGAATTCTGATTTTTTCCTTTGACTTTTTATAAACATGAAGTAATCCTGTGTTATTTTGATCCATTCTCCTTGGAATGCAAAAGGTGTTTTGCCTTGCTACTTCCAAAATGTGTTTTTAATGTTATCATTCTAGATACTGATTAAAATATTCCTTGATAAATCACACTTTAAATTTCACTTGGTCTCCTGTGGATTCTTTTGAGCTATACTTTGCTGTTGGCTTACTGGGCAATTTTTCTGTGTGGTTTCTTGAACTACTCAGGTCAGTTTGTTTCAAGGAACCTTTCTGAAAATCCTGTAGTTCTTATATTATCTCTTCACACCCTATTTTCAAGTATTCTTGTAGAGTTATATGTTAATCCAGTTCTATTATTTGTTTCATTGTTGTTATTTTGTTCCATTCATTTTTCTTTTGCTTCTGAATTTTTCCATTCCAATTCTGTTATTCTGTTTTTCAGAGAACCTACCGTTATATGGCATATCTGTCTTTTGTTCTAAATTCTCTAGGGTCTGGTTACACTTGATGTGGCTTTCGTAAGAGCTCTAATTTCTATTGTTATTTCTTTGAGATTTTTATTTAATTCTTTGTACTGTTCTGAAATATTCTGGAAGTTCTTGGAGTTGCTTCATGGTGATTTCAGGGAACCTGTAAGAGTTTGGTATAATACTATCATTTTCTTGAGGGGACTGGATCTGTCCTTTGTTGCAAAGTGCTTGTCCACTGAGGTGACTATTTCTTCAAACGTTTGTTGATTTAATCTCTCTATGTTTTGTCTATCTTTCTGAATCACTTGCTGGTTATTCTATGGTGTTATTGCTGCAAATGGGCTTATTACCACCAGTATTTTCCCTTCTGTAGGCCCAGTATTGCTGTATCCTTATCCTAGTGCTTGATGCCTGTTCCCTGTTCTCTCAGATTATTAATTTTTGTTTGTTTGGTTGGTTTTGGTTTTTTTGGCTAGGCAGTAGGGTTAAGTAACTTGCTTAGGGTCACACAGCTAGTAAGTGTCAAATGTCTGAGGCCAGATTTGAACTCAGGTCCTCTTGTCTCCAGGGCCCGTGCTTTTTCCACAGCACCACCTAGCTGCCCCTAGACAGGGCCATTTAAAGAGGGAAGTCTACATACATATGTCTTAAAGTGTATGTTTTTGTACACATGCCCAGAGCTACTAGCTGTGGTACTCTGGGCAAGTCACTGAAGGCAAGATCAAGGTCTGCCTCAGTTTTCTCATCTATAAAATGGAGATAATAATTGCACCTGCCTCCCAGGGTTGGTGTGAGAATCAAATGAGATCATATTTGTAAGATGCTTTGTAAAACTTAAAAGTGCTATATAAATGCTGGTGGCTATTATTATTGTTGTTCCTACTGTTACAGTAATTGTAAGAAAGTAAGAGATCTAGATTCAGATCCCACCTCTGACACTTATTAGTTGTGTGACAATGGACAAGTTGCTTACTGAGCCCCAATTTTCACATCTGTAAAATCATACCTGTACTGCTTACCTCACAGAATTGGTGTGAGAATTCCTGTTACCTCACATGTCATATCCATCATCATAGGCTCAGAGGGTCTGTCATGCCTGAGGTGGAGGTTGTCTTTATATATCTACTGAGTTTCAACTTGGCAGCCAGTTAGGGAACTCTTCATCATCTATCAACACAAGCTCCTGTATGTGGCCAGAAGTAGAGCCCCTCCAAGTTTCCCCATGCTAGACTGGAACTAGGAAGGGAAGATCTGGACATGCTCCCAGGAATGGCCTCTCCAAGCCAGTTCACCTATATCATACTGTTAAACCACAGCAGAATATTTTGTTGTTGTTCAGTTGTTTTCAGTCATCTCGTGACTCCATTTGAGGTTTTCGTAGCAAAGATACTGGAATGGTTTGCCATCTGCTTCTCCAGCTTATTTTACAGATGAGGAAACTGAGGCAAACAGGGTTAAGCAACTTGCCCAGGGTCACATAGTAAGTGTCTAAAGACAGATTTGAACTCATGAAGAGGAGTCTTCCTGACTCCAGGCCCAGTATTCTATCCACTGCACCACCTAGCTGCCCACAGAATATTTAGGACCTATAGATAGAGAAGAGCTGCCATGCCTGACCATAGGACTGCATGGGAGGCAGCTAGGTGGCGCAGTGGATAAAGCACTATCCCTGGAGTCAGGAGGACCTGAGTTCAAATCCAGCCTTAGACACATAGCACTCATTAGCTGTGTGACCCTGGGCAAGTCACTTAACCCCATTGCCTAGCCAAAAAAAAAAATACATAGGACTGCATACGTAGCACTGTGAAGAGGGGCTTTTGGGTCCCTTGGCTTGGTCTTACCCTGTTCTGTCTTCTCTTCCCAGATACTTTGTCAGTTTTGTGATTCAGTTCCAGTTCCATGAGGCCCTGTGCCAAGCTGCTGGCCACGACGGCGCACTGCACAAGTGTGATATCTATCAATCAGAGGAGGCCGGGCAGCTCTTGGCGTGAGTTCTCCACCTTTGTCCTTTGGTTAAAGTTCCACCCTCTGACCCAACCTCCAGTCACAGTCTGTAGCCTCTGGGGAGGGAGCCCAACAGGTGTTGCTGAATCATCTGACACTGGGGATTATGGATGTGGGCCTAGAAGATTAGCTTCTTCCCTGGTCTGCCCACCACCCCACGCCTAAACCGAGCCAGCTATGTGCCTCAGTGTGTCTCTGTGTAAGATAAGGACAATGATCCCTTTTCTGGGCAGGGGAAGTAAAGGATCCTTGGGGCCACATGCTTGCTTTCTTTAAAATATTGTATTTCTTTTTTTGTTCAGTTGGGTTGGGTTTTGGGTTTTTTTTGTTAAGCAGTGGGGTTAAGTGATTTGCCCAGAGTCACACAGCTAGTAGGTGGCAAGTGTCTGAGGCCAGATTTGAACTCAGCTCCTTCTGATTCCAGGGCCGGTGCTCCATCCACTGCATCACCTAGTTGCCCCCAAAATTGTATTTCTTTAGAGAATTAGCTTAATTCCTTTGCTTATTTTTAATTTTCTATCATCCTAAATCTTATTTAAATATGCTAGAATCTACCTTACTGGCTGACTACTCATTTTCTTTTTTTTTTTTTTTGGTTTGGTTTGGTTTGGTTTTGGCTAGGCAGTGGGGTTAAGTGACTTGCCCAGGGTCACACAGCTAGTAAGTGTTATGCATCTGAGGCCAGATTTGAACTCAGGTCCTCCTGAATCCAGGGCTGTTGTTCTATCCTAGCTGCCCTGACTACTCATTTTTATAAAATGAGAGGCTTGTACTAAGTGACTTCCAGTTCTAAATCTGATCCTGTAGGACCTAGACACAGTCACTTCTCAATGGGGAATCTAAGCTAGAGGGAGAGATCACTGTATGGGGATTGTAGTCACAGGGCAGGGGCCCTAACTGTTTGTTTCCCTCTTCTTTTCATCTTCCCCAAACCTCAAACCCTACCCAGGGATGCTATGAAGCTGGGACTCAGTAAGCCGTGGCCAGAGGCTATGACGCTACTTACAGGACAGCCCAACATGTCAGCCACAGCTATTGTGAACTACTTCCAGCCCCTGCTGGACTGGCTCATCACCCAGAACAAGGAACAGCAGGAGACACTGGGCTGGCCTCAGTATGACTGGACTCCATATTCTGGTACTGCTCCCATCCCTGCTCTGGCCTCAACCCCTACGTCTCACCCAAGGCTGTAGTTTTTTTCTCTACCTAGACACAGGCTTGAGTCCAAGCAAATGCAGAGCAAGGAGTTTTCTAACTGTTACAAACCTGACCCCAGTCCGCATCTGCTATCAGAGTGTCAGAGATGCACTCCACTTGGGAGTAGAGGTGGTACCCTATCTGCCCTCCTCCCCTAGACAACACTCTGTGGTCAGACCTCAGCCAATAGGATTCAAGGTCTGTTGCTCACTCACTCTGGGACCTTAGGCAAAGTCTCTTTCCATCTCTGGAACTGTAAAATGAAGGAGTTGAATTTTACAGAATGGGAAACTGAGGTCCAGAGACAGGAAGGTCATATAGATAATAAGTAGCAGAACTGGAATTTTGACCCAGGTTATCTGCCTCCTATATCCAGTCTTCTTTTCACTCCCCCATGCTACTTACAGCCTTTTTGCTTCAGCATACACTGCTTCTCCATCTGTCTTCCCCAGCACTGCTAGATTAATTTCCTGAAACTTTTTTCCTCTCCACCTCTCAAAATCTATATTGTCCTTCAAGGCTTAGCTCAGGCACCACTTCCTCCATGAGAATTTCCTGATTTCTACTCCCATCCCCAAAGGAGACATAATATTAATAATAAAATAAGGGAGTTTTATTAAAAGATCTCCAAGGTTCCTTCTGCTTCTAACTTTCTGTGAATACTAGGCCCAGCGCTTATATGAGTCCCTCATCGGGCATTGGCAAGGAGCCTGCAACTGGGGCTGGGCGGTAGGCTGGAGGCCAGTGCCCAGATATGGCCATTTTTCCCAAGGGCCTGGGGCTCCACTCCTTTTTTCCTTGCCCTGATCCCCACACATGTGCCAGAACCTCATTCTCCCCTCTTCCTATCCTCCTCTTCTCATATGTTTTTCTTCCCTACCCCCAGGTGCCTCCAGTGCTTCCAGTGCCCCCAACAGTGGCAAAGTCAGCTTCTTAGGAATGGAGCTGGAGCCTGGACAGGCCATGGCAGGGCAGTGGATACTGCTTTTCCTGGGCCTGGTGTTGCTTGTGGCTATAATGGGCTTGGCCTATAAGATGTATGACCTCAGACGTCAACAGGAGCCTTACTTTGGCTCTGAGGTGGAACTGAGACACTCCTGAGACTGAACCAGAACTGAAAGGAAATGGAAAACCATGTGGAGAGAAGAGGGGGAAATGGTGGAGGGGAGAAATGGAAAACATGCTGAGGACAGAGCTTTGGCTACTAAAGACTGAGGGAACTCAGTCTGCTGGACTCTGGACTGTATTCTGTTTCTACACTGCCCCACCTCCATCCTATTCTTTACCACTCTCTTCTTCTTTCTTTCTTCTCACTTTCTTCCCTTCCTCCTGTGTTTCCTCTTTTTGGCTGGCTTCTCTGATTAAGTCAAGCTTTCCTAACTATGCAAGATGCTATAGGACCATTCCATCTCAACAGGCAACAGTAGAGGTACCTCCCCAAACACTTTTTCCATGGTGGATGTCTGAAGGGGGATGGAGTTGGAATTGGGAGAGAGAGCTTGTTTAATTTCCTGTAGCTTATTAACAAAACCTCCTTAGGTCAGGTAACCTCAGTAGGAGCTAACTAGCCTCTCCCCCTTCAAAGAAACCCACTACCAAGAACCTATATAAATGAAATTAAAGATTCTGTTTCATTTTCCTAAGCTGTATCCCATCCCATAATCCCTAATCGCCCTTGCCCCCAAAATAGTAAATACTTGCTTTTGGGAGATTGGGACTTGTAATACCTGAAGGTAGCAAGCACTGAGGTCCAGTCTTCTCCTATTCATATCCCATTTTCCCAAGCATCTACCCCCAATTCTGAATCATCCTCCCACAGAAGGACACAGGAAGTACTACAGAGAACAGAAATAGTCTACCACCCCTCCAACCTGGCACCCATTTAGCATGCTGTATTGAAAGCACTACTTTCCCACTAGCCAGCCTTCTCTGCAGACCCTTTTGTCTCTCTGTTGTAAAAGTCGAGGGAAAATGGGGGACTCCCTTACCCCCTAAGACCAAAGGCCCTGGCTGCACACTGTCTACCTAGAAGAAGTATTACACATCTTGACTGAATGTGACTTCCAGGAAGAGAATTTGGGAAGATATCTGGGTCAAACTGAGTAGGGAGGCTCTTAGATACAGGCTTCCTGGAAAGCCATAACTAGGTCTGGATGACTGAGGCTTTGTCTGGGGTGGGAGGAGTGGCCAAAAAATAGTGCACTGAGAGCAGTGTGTATCCTTCCGTAACACAGAAACAACTGAGCCTAGCAGCTAACTAGCCAGAATTAAGACAGGAAAATACAAGCTGGAAGCTTCCTCCACCCACGCAGCCACACCTCAAGTGATCTTTTCATTAGCCTAGCCCTGCCACCATCCATGGCCATCTCTTCCCCAGCAGCGGCCTTGTGATGTCCTGGTATTTTTGCTACAACCCCCTCAACTGAATTGAGGGAAAGTGTCATGCTGCTTGCCCAGGACACAAAAACAGCTAAGTGAGTCTCAGCTTCCTGCCAAAATTCAAAGTGCCTTGTCACAGTCGCCATCGTATTCTGAAAAAAAAAAATGCCCAGAGTGTGATTAGTTGTGAATTTACATGCTTTGTATACCCTTCATGGAATGTCTCCCATTGGCTTCAAGCCAAGTCCTTGCCCCTCACTCCCCTGGAGCTCACTCCAACCCAGGTCTATGTCCTGAGCAGGTTAGGGATGACAGTAAGGGTGGTCCCAAAGTCTACTTGGGGTCCTCATTATGTCCCTGTTCTTTAGGGGAAGGAGGCTCTGCCAGGAGAGGGAGACAGCTCAAGATGTGAATGAGACTGAGACATGTGAGATTGATCTGACTTCCTGGCATTAATTACTTTTTCAATCCCTTATAGTTCTATGCCCAACAGATTGTAATTAAGCAACAGCAAACATTTGGTGAGCAGAGCACCCTGCCAAGATGTAGGGGGCACAGGAGACATGAAGTTCAGATGGAGTTTATAGTCTACTCCAAGCCGTGGGGTGCCAATTATAGTTCACTCCAAAATACCTGAGATTTACTCAAGGCCTTTATAAACAAGTGCCAGGGATATTGCTGACTTCCCTGTCTGTGGCTTCATTTCCTGTTCCCACTACTCAATCCTAGACCCCATAAAATGATCCCCTGTTGTGTTGCAGGGGTCTTTCCTCAGCTGCAGTTGCGGGGGCTGAAGAATAGATGCTCATTTACTGTCCTTTTCCCTGTGAACCAATAAATGGGAGAATAAATTATTAAAACAGTATTTTCCAAGCCCCATGCTATGCACCGGGCATACAAAGGCAAAGGTAGTCCCTGCCCTCAGATTATATTCTAAGATGAGAAGTGACAAGAGAGGGGCATTTTGGCTTAGTAAGTTACTGGGATAGGAAGCAGATGGAAAAGATAACACAATCATTCTAGGAGCTATGATAGAATTGTTATGATTATGGTTCAAGTACTAGATGGCAGATATGATTGTCATTTTTTTGCTAAGAAGATGGCCTGGGAAGTGAAGTGAAGCATGGCTGGAGCTAGGCTTAGATGTGGTCAACTTAAGCACCCATGGATGAAGACAGTGGGGCCCAGGGCAGGGGTTTTGGGGAGTATTCCTCCAGATAGTGTCTGTCCTAGGCAGCCAGCAGTTGGTAAGATGATGGTCAAGGAGTGTAATGGACCTATGGACCTTAACCTTTCGTTGCCCACATCCCACACAGCCTGTGCACTCTGGGAATTCGTCATTTCTCTGTCTTCAAGACCCAGTCAATGACTCAATCAGGTTTCTAAGACTTTCCCAGTGGGCTTGGAGGTGCTTTGAGGGTAAAAGTCTTTGTATTCGATTCTGACCCTTTTCAGGATCTAGATAAATTTTGCAATAAAAATATTTAAAACTCCCAAGCCAATGCTTCGTTTTCTCCTAGCTCAGGGCCATCCAGATAAGAACTGCCCAACAAGTTTTCTGGAGTCCAGAGCTGTAGGCCACCTCTCTGCTCCATTTCCCATTTCTGGTCCAGTGAGCTTGACTGGGTACAGCTGCTACATCTGCTGCAGCTTTCCCGCCCACCTCCAGGTCATGAGCCCCAGTACCTCCCACTGTTTTTCAGGCTCTACATCCCACATATGCATAACTGACACTGACAAGAAATTAAAGTATGCTATTGACTCAATTGATTTTTTTTCTACAAAAATAAAACTGAGTGTTTATACATTTAGATCTTGCCATCACTCGTAAATATACCCCTTCCGTGTTTGTACAGAAACTGCCTTACCTGTTTGCAATCTGCTGTCATTTCATCTTGCCCTGTGCCTTGCACACCCAAACCTTATTCGTCATCATCACCATGACCTCTCTAATCCCTCGAGTGCTTAGTTCTTTCCCAGGCCATCACCCTTGCACTGTCCCCGTTTTCCCATCTTGATAACTTGGTGAACCAGTTCAACTCTACACTCTCTTCTCAATCTCTTAACCTCTTCTCATTCAGTCATTTCAGCAGGGTCCAACTCTTCATGACCCTATTTGGGGTTTTCTCGGCAAAGATACTGGAGTGGTTTGCCATTTCCTTCCCCAGCTCTCTTTACAGATGAGAAAACTGAGACAAGGTGAAGTGACTTGCCCAGGGTCACATAGGTATTAAGTGTCTGAGGTCAGATTTATACTCAAAGTCTTCCTGACTCCAGGCCCAGAGCTCTATCCACTGCACCACCTGGCTGTACCTAATTTGTCCCCTTACCCACTGCCAAGTCTCAACCCTGGATTAACCCTATAAACCTTAACTCCTACTCACAGCTAAACAAAGCTAAATGTTACATAATCTTAACTGGGCCCTCACTGCAACAAGGCAATTGTTTTACACCTCCCTAATTAACTCACTTTCTACTCACCAGAGCAGCTTTTCCAATTTTTCATCTCTCTTATAAATTCCTATAGGTCGCCATACCCCACCTCACATTTCCCTGAAAAAAAATCACCAAAAATTCTACCCTCCTCCTTTACTTATCTCACTGGTGCTCTCTGCTACCATCTGCACCTTGATCCCTGTCTCACAAAATGAAGTGTCTAGGCCACTTCGGGGGTCAAAGAGAATATGGTGGCAGAGAGCACCTGTGAGGCCCTCTATTTGCACACATGATCCCATTCTGACCATGTCATTCTCCTACTTTATAAACTCAGTGACTCCCTATCACCTGCGGGATCAAATATAAAGTCCTCATTTTGAAGTTCAGAGTCCTAGGTAACCTTGATGGGGTGCTCAGGCCCCAGACCTAAGATCACGTCTCTGGAAGCCTCCCAATTTCTCAGGAAGCCCCTGTCCTGTGAGAAAAATTTCCCTTGTTGCAAAACGCATTTTCTTATCAGAACAGACAGAGGGGTGCTTGGCCCAAGGATTTTTGTTCCTGGCAGGCCCAAGGACTCTCCCTCCTGCGAGATCCCCAAGGTCCATGCCTCTCACAACTCCCTCAAAGTCTAGTACATTTCCTATACTCTCCCATCCATAGCTCCCAAAGACACCCAGACCCCTAGATTACCTAATTAGCATCCCTGGCATTCCTTTCCCATGCCCCTTTTCCATATAAGCCACTGCACCATCCTCACTCTCTCACAGGTTCCATAAGGACGGTTGCCCACTTTTGCTAAAGTAAAACAATAAATGTTCTGCCACTTGACTAAGAGAAGGCTTGAGTGTGTGAATTCATTCCAGGCAACTCTGCCTTGGCATTCTTGGGTCCCAGGACCCCCAAACCTCAACAAACTGTCTCCCCTCAGTCTTTCCAACTTTCTCCATACATTCTTTGCCATCTAATGACAATGGTCTCTTTGCCATTCCTTGCGGTCTCACAACTCCAGGTTTTGCCTTATTCCCATAACTCTTTTTCTGTCCATCTCCAGCTCCAGGCTTCCCCAGATGCCTTCAAGTCCCAGCTAAAATTTCAGCTACAGGAAGCTTTTCCCATTTCCCTTTAATTCTAGTGCCTTCCCTCTTGATTATTTCCAATTTATCCTGTATATACCTAATTTATACATAGTTGTGTGCATGTTATCTCCCCCATTAAACTGTGAGCTGCTTTATTAAGAGCGAGGTCTGTCTTTTGCCTTTCTTTGTATTCTCAGCATTTAGCATGGTTCCTGGCACATAGTAGACACTTAATTCATGTTTATTGAATAACTAATTAACTGCCTCTGTTCATTCATTCAACAGGCATTTATTAAGCACCTATGATATGCCAGACACTGCTGTGGATACTGAGGATATTAAAAAAAACCTACTTTTAATGAGCTTGAAGGCTATACCAACAGAGATTAAGGTCGGGTAGGTCCCATGAAGCAGGAAGGTTTCAAGTACAGGCCCTTACTCTGTTATCTAAGGACCAACCTGGCTAAGTTTGGAGAAGTCCATCAACCAGGTTGGCCACAGGGGGATGAGTTTTTCAAGCCACAGTAATTCTTAAAGTCCATTGACTTAAGTGGCAGCATGTTTA